TGTCTAAGAACAATTTGCATAGAATATTACATCCACGTCCAAACATGCAAAGTAAAGACAGTTTACAGTTCTAATTCAGCCTCTAGGGTACATGCTGGTGCTGCCAGTAAAACAATATTAATGCAGGTTCAGAAGCCCTGGTTCAACAACCCATTTTAATTGTTGAATATGTAGGTTAATTGTCTAGGCCACTCTTAATGATCTCCCTGTAGAGCAAGTGAAGTTATTTACGATTATCTTCATTTTCATTTAGAGCTTCAGCATAACGTTTAACAAACCTCTCACTTTCAACAAATAGCTGCCCAGTAAGTGAAAATCTTCTATACACCACATCCACATGCTGCATAGATCACAGACAATTAAAAACATTTAAAAACTCATTCCTTAATCCAGACTAGGTGCAAACCTTTTTGTCTATGCTGAAAACATTCAAATATCGATTGTCTGTGGTCTGTCTAAACAATCAAAGCAAGCAGTTTAGAATCAACTGCAAATTGAATGCAAATCAATGACTGGATGTGCCAAGATGATTTCCCTGTTTGAAAAGTCCCAAAAATTTCTCTAACACAAAGTTTTTACCACTAAGCACAAGGAAAAAAGTACACAAAGTACTTTCCAGCCTCTCAGTCATATCTGGATGTCTGAATAACTTGAATGCTCAGTATCTTGGATTAGATCCACAAACTGTCAAAATCCTCCTCTCGGCCAGAGCACCACATCAGAAACAGCTACAGAAAAAAAGAAACAAAAATCCAACTCAAACTGTGCTGTCCATGTCAGTAAGGCAGACTTCAACTCTGATCCTTAAAAGCCGGACAGTTGACGATCCTTCTGCACAACATTTAGACAGCCCACTTTAAGCCCACTTAAACTAATAGGGCTAGTGGGCATTAGCTTGAGGATGAGCTGAAAGAAAGAAAGGGCTGACATCCCTGAACCTGAGTAAATCTAGAGAGTCCCACAGGCTCAAGGCATGATTAATGAACGCCTGGGTCTGATTGTTCATGTAATTCTAATTCTGTAATAAGCAAAAAGAACTTTAGCTCAATCGGGGAGAAATAAAGAGAACAACACTGCAGTACAACAGCAACAGACAGAAATCAATCAGAGCTAGTCAATTTCCTCAAGGAGCGGCAATTAAAAAGACCGGAGGGCTTCCTTCGGGTTCCTCCGAGAAATTAGAGCTTAGCCTCATATTCCTGCTGTGCTCAACAGGGATGAGAAGCAGTTGACCTCAGCACTCTGCACACAGACAGTCACTTCTCATAGAGAATAAAGTCCAAAAGAGTAATCAGGGCTGTCATAATTACTTCTGAATCTGCAATGATTATTTGGCAATTTGCATGACAATAATGCACACTTTAAATTCTTCTAGTGGCATCAATGGCAGTAAGAAACAGAGCCTGATGGACACGACTATTTATATCCATTTTTTACCACATGTATATTTTTATGACAGAAAAGAGTCATTTAGCTTTTTCCAGTAACGTATTTTGGAGCTGAAGAAAGGCTATGCATGTTCTGTTATTGTTCAGTTAAATCCATTTTTGTAGTTGGGCCAGTTCTTTAAAACTCTGATTAAAAACCCTGATTATTCATTATATATTATGTATATAATTGACAGTGAGAGCCCTGCTCTTAAACCAAAAGGCACTACCTCTCAACAGACTAGAAAATCTACCTGAGGGCATTTAAACAGTCAGGTAAACTCTCTGAAAGATTGGTAAAGCAGGATTATATCTCCCAGAAAGCCACTTATTTGCTATAACAATTTTAAATGTTAGCACTGATAGCATTCAAATCAGCGTACAAAATTTTTGAACTATGTACTCCCCTTGTCTTGTACAAGTGGACATTTGTCCTCTTTTGTGGAAACCACTCACAAGGATCTAAGGTAGGCATCTGGAGCAACCAATCAGAGTAAAGTGGGAGGGGCTTACATTATGCACATATCCATTCTTAAATAACTGGACTTTTTTTTTGAAGTTGCTTTAAGGGTTCCATTTTTGGGGCTTATTTTGTTGCCCCAAACATTTATTGACATGTGACATATTGAAAAAAATTATATTTCAGAATTTTGTGGAATCACTTTAACATATAAACCTTGAAAATCAAATCAAATCTTGATCTCACACTCAAATTATTTTAAACTTAAAAAAAAATATCATTACACCCCTAAAATTCAGAAGTCTATCAGTCTGGCCCTTCTTTAATTATTGTCATATATATGAAGAATAGGCAGAAATGTACAATTTCCAGAGCACTTCAAAAACCTATGGTTAGTAACACCCATGAGCTCAGCGGGCGTGTCAGGTTGAAGCACCTGACAGAACCATATACTCAGTGAGGTGGCCAATCTCAAATTACACTACTCACTTCAAATAAGTACATGTAACAAAGGAACAACTGGTATGTACTTGTCATGATGCATCACTGCATTATTTAAGGCAATTCAAAGCAAATTAAGGCAATTAAGGCTTTAAACAGAATAATTAGCACAGATGAATCAATGACATTAGTTCAGTGAAAACATTCCTCCTCTTTTTCCCTGTGAAGACTTTATGCTACTGCAGGATGCTGCCTGAAGTTGAGACCAGAGGTAAACCCTTAGCACCATGAAGTGTTTGGAGTAGGCTATTTACTCCTGTCACATTTACAACAGCTCTGGCATGACATCTTATTGCTGCCTGTTCTCAGGCAAAGTATGTGGCTGACAACTGGCCAAGCCTCATTCAAAGAGGGAACCCCTGCAGCAACAGTAGAGCGAAAGGTACTGGTGCTTACTGGCTAAAGCTACAGTTGCAACAGCATAGATTTTTCTCCATAAAGGTGGCAAAAGCTGTGATGTTGTTCCCATTTTCTTTGAAAGTTCTTGCTGTGTTAACACTAATAATCTAACCTGCCAGACATGACAAACGGAATGAGTAGTCATTCAATAAATAGGCTAGTTGTAAATAGCGTAGGCTTTTTTATTTGTCTTTTCTTTGTGCGCAAGAGAAAAACATGCAGGTCTACCAGCAGTGTGAAACTGCCTCTCTACATTCCAGAGCTGATGGGTGGGGATCTCAGGGTGCATTCCGGTTCGTATTTGCATGCGAATGACGAAAGAGCAGAAAAAGCACTCAGAAAACAAGGCAGCTGGCGTGAGACGTTCGGTGCCATAGGCATCTGCATGGGCCCAAATCAGCACAGATAAAGCACTATGTGATCCCTTTCCAAGGAAGAGCCGACAGACAGTTTAGGAACTTTTGTTGTCTTCCATGACAGACCGTTCCCTGAAAAAAGCCTACACTAATTACACTTACCCATCGCTTTTATGATGTGTTTCAGGTTAGACAAACAAACAATGAGTTTACAATGCGTGTAATGACACAGCACTTCTACTGAACCTCTGACTTATAAGATGTCAGATAAAATACAGGAATCTGGCTAAAATGATTGTGGTAACAGATTACAACACATTCTCACGTACAATTTCCAATGCAAGAGAGAGCACAGGCAGCAGACCCGAAGCCTTTAACTGTCACAAATGATCAATACCCTATTGCAGCTTTTTGCTTTCATACATCAGTGACATACACTGTATGTCCGAAAGGACCCAGGCCCCCCCGAATTCTGTTACTTTAAGGTGTACTAACTGCTGACATGAGTGTTCAGCTGCAGAAAAGCATTGCCAGTAGAATGGTGCACTCTGGAACAGCCACACACGAGCCCTAAGGTCACCTGAGCTCATGTGTAGCAGTGGAGCTGTGTTTTCTGGAGTGATGGAGCAACATCTAATACTTTTGGGATGAGTTGGAGTTCCGCTTTTGATGCAGGACTAATCATCCAACGTCAGTGCATGACCTCACTGGCTAAATACAAATACAATCAAATTCTCACAGCTATGTTTCAACATCTAGTGTGAAGTCTAGAGGCTTGTATCTGCAGCAAAGGAGGACAAACTCCCTATAAATACATAGGATGAGCTTATGGTGTACAAAGCACAGTGAAGAGACTGTGACAGGGATGTATCACTTGTGGTTGGCCATAGTGATGAGCTGTGGATCATCTGATCTGAGACTGTGTTAAAAATTTACAAGGCAAGCTCTTGGTGAGACACACCCACAACACAAGGCTTGGTCTGGATGATCTCGTTCATCACGAGTTTGTAGGAAGGAGGGATGAGGCAAGTGAGGGCAGCTTGTTTCCAAAGAAAAAGTAACCCAACAGGGCACTTGCATTCTTCTCACTCAACTGACTCATGACAAGTCTGACTGGCAGCTTGTCACATGAAGAACAACAAGCAAGAGGAAACGAAAAGGAAAGTCTGCTGTTGTCTCCACCGTTAGAAAGTTCACATCTCGGTCGAGAAAAAAAAGCCTCCATCTGTTCTTAACCACGGTGACAAAGCATTCGCTAATTCTTAATACAGTGACCCATATAGGCAGTGCTGCCTTCTAAAATTAGAGGGAGACAGACGGCCCTTCACTTCTCCTCACTGCGTTCTCCAGCAGTTCGTAGCACGGAAAGGTGAGGAGGACGACAGCCATCTCCCAGAAAGCTTTGGTGTAATTTCAAAAAAACAAAATTTATAGTCCTAAACGTTTCTGACATTAGCAGAGCTGCATAAGCAGGCTAGCTTGAACACACTGGTAGTTAGCTAAGTAGCTCTGTGCGCTACATTAGCTCGGATGAAGTCGTAGTTGTTATTAACGTACCGCTCATCACTCATCCAGTTAGCTCTAAGTTAAACGTCTGAAAAAATAAAATATAGTGGATGGATAGGATGGTATGAAATGGTCCAGATGGTCCAATTGGCTTGACCATGTATGACATAAATTTCAGCACCTTCATAAAACAGTGGAATACTAGGAGGAATGGTTGCTAGCTTGCTAACATAAAGTGTTATGATTTTGTTATGCAGGCGACATTAGCTCGACAGCTAGTCTGCTAACAGCGGGCGCAAGAGGAAACATGAGAAAATGTCCTTTTAGAAAAAGTCACATTTTTATCGTTACCTGGTCTAAGGGAAGGTCGACCATCTCGCTGATGGGCTGCAGTAAAGTGGAGCCCGTACAAGACTTCGTCTCAGTAGCCATGGCTCTTTGTGAATCCTCTCTTGATCCAGACTCCCTTTCGTTCAAATCCCCGCAGAAATCCCTCTGTCTCCCGCCCTCTATCTCTCTCTCGCACTCTCTCTGTCTCTCTCTCCTCCGCGCTCCGGTGTTGGTGCTGTTTCTGCACGGCTCGGTTGTCAGACGCGCAACAGCTCAGAGTCGCCAACACGCACGGAGACAGTAGACCGGAGGCGGAGTCAGCGGTCCGGCCCCTACATTACAACCAAACACCGCCCAGTATCTGGCCGGACTAACAGCCCGTCCCCAGGAGTTTATTTATGTCCTGTTTCTCGGCACCATTTATCACTTTGAATCACTGAAGAGTCATTTCATGGACACGGACACGGTCTTTTTTGTCCATTTTTTTGTCTCTACACTCTCAGTTAGATATTGTTCTTACCAAAACAGATTTTATTTGTTGTGTCAAATAATTAATTGTGTCAAAGTACACAAAGTACAACTCTATCACACTGAACTAATGGCCGAGGTGGATGTGACAGGATGGAAGATTTCACCAAACTGTTATTCAAGTTAGAGCGTCTCAGATTGTTTAAAGTAAAGTTACTTTACTTTTCTGTGAATATTGCACAAATATGTAGTAAAAAACGTTTTCTCTGCCTATTTTGTGTGACAGGGTGGACTTGATGGACCTTGCCAAGAATGAAGAAAAGAACAATCAGTTTACCAGCTTTTGAACTTTTCTTCTCTGAAGGCTTAAATGAGGTCAGTTACATGTCATTTTGTCACAGTACATTATTTCACGACTAAATAAATTAGTGTGACAGAGAACCGCGAAAAGACTGTAGATACAATAAATGTATTCTATTGTTGTATGTAGTGCTAAAGTGAAAACAGATATACATTTGAACCTGGCAAAGGTTTAATGTTATTACAACCTTTATTTAGTAAAATATGAGATGAGACTCTCTATACGTAAAAGTATGAACATCCCCAGTCAAACTGTTGATTTTCTTAGTGAAAGTAAGCTAACACATTCTCTACAGAGAGTAGATATATGAGATTTGTCTGTACATTTTACTGAACAATTTCTATTTATTTGCTGAGTTTCTGAGTTAGAAAATAATAAAATATAAAATGCACCATAACTTTTGTACAATATGTTAAATTCAGTAAATTAAAAAAAAAGTTATTTTGTATTAAAATGTGCAGAATTGTGTTCTCTGTGGAGTGTCAACTCATTTTGACAACGAAACATGTCTTTCGACCAGGAGCGCCCAAACTTTTGCACACAACTGTACGTTGTATTCTTACATTGTTCATGTAGTCATAGATATACTTGCTCTGTGTGCATAGGTTGCTATCATCTTCCAAGCCCTGGGTAACCGAGTCTACATATGAAATAATGTCTTTTTTAAGGTCTTCTACCTTCTGTAATCAATAATATAGAACTGAATCAGACATCATGCTGAGGTCTATTCAGGGGCAACTACTAATGTTTGCCTGTCAACACAGGGTACAAATTACAAAGAAAGAACATAAGGCAGAAACATTTCATGTATCAGATGAAGTAAGAGCGAGATGTTCATGTCTATGGTCACTCAGTCAGATAGTGCCACCATGTGGCTTTCTTGGGAGGTGAAAAGAGCCATGGCTTATTTCTTCAGCTTTTCTCAGCTCAGTGAGACTTACCTCTGTTAGAAGAGAGAAGTTTAAGAATCAAAATACACAAGCCTACTATGACAAATATCAGGGTGGAACCATGTAGTTCTGTGCTGCTAAATAATACAGAAGAGTTGTGTTCTGGACATAATATGTTCAGACTAAAAAAAGACCAACAGCTTCTACCTCAACATTCATACCATACAATTTAAACCTAGCTTAGTTAGCCACAGAGGAATATTCAGTCTTCTGTTTTGTCCTAGAAGGGCCCAAATCATGGAGAAATTTTCTCATGAAATCATGAAATCCAACATATTTACATATTCAGCCTACAGTATACGACTTATATATTATAATATAGCTCCACCCATTGGTGAAGTTTTAAAAGCAGCATTTCAGCCCTGATTTTTTAAATGAAGCGCAATACTAATCAGCCAATCAGAACAGAGCTCATTTAAAAGAGAGCTTGTAAAGTGGAAATCTGAAAATGAAGTATGACTGCTTTTGGTACATCAATTCAAATCACCAAAGGGGAAAAAATAAACCAAATAGGAGGATGTAAGATATGGGCCCTTTTGAGAATTTTATGGTTTCACTACAAAATTAAATGCGTTTATATGCACTTAATAATCTGATAACTGCAAAAAATCAGATTTTGACTGCTTTGGAAAACTCCAGGTCTACACGAGTCAGGAAGTAATTGGATTTCTCTGTTGCAACCGGGCAATAAACTTAAAGAAGACGTGACGTAAACATAATGTAAAGCTCAAACTTCATGCTGCGACTTTTTTTTTAAACATGGCGCCACTTTACCTGAAAATATGAACGTACATCGTCTAGAAGATGAAGAATATTTAAATCCTTTATGTCGTCAAGCATGTAGTTGGTTTCAGCTTCAAAAAGTGTTTTGCTGCCATCTCGCTGAGTACTGCAGACTGTGTTCGCACATGCATAGACTGAAAAATCCTAAAGAAATCCGAAAAAGAGTAAACATGCACTGAGAAACTGATTACTGAGCTAAAATCAAGCTCTCTTCATCAGATTTAATCCGATTTCTAGATCTTATTCCAATCTAAGAAATTGGAGTATGTTTACATGACCATTTGAATAATCAGATAACTGCAGAAATCCGATTATGATCAGATTGTTAAGTGCATGTAAACACACTCAGTAGCCACGTTTACATGCAGCCTGATAATCCGTTAATAATCCGACTAATAGCTCAATCGGAATAGAACACGTCCATGTAAACACCTCAATCGGAATAGACTAGTCCGATTGAGGCCATTCGGAATACAATTTCTATCCGATTGAACGAGGTGGGTAAACTTCTAAATAATCCGTTAAATAGAAGAATAATAGCCATGTAAACGCCTGAATCCGATTACATTCCAATCGGAACGTGTAAGTATGTTCTGCGCATGTGCGTCGCGTCATGGCGAAAGTTTATACCGTTCAGCATGGCGGAGCAGAAACGGGTCTGCAGAGGAGACGAAATTTATGCTCTGAGCTTTAAAAGACTGCGGTGGGACGGACATCCAGCTTATGAGTCTCAGAACACGACGTCTTCCTCTCGCCGCTTACTTTATAAGGACATGTGAAGTACGTTTTCCTGAGTCTGACATCATTTTAAAGCAATTAAAACACAAGCGCGCCAACTGGAAACTCATTTCACGCGGACTGGACCTCACGTGATGTTCGCTGTCATGGTAACGTTTACTCTAAACGCTACTCCACGCATGCGCGTCATTTTGCATCGGATTACTTGTAGTGAGCATGAAAACGAAGATTTTCCATCAAATCGTTGAATAGAGTGTGCATATAAACACCTCAGTCTGAATCTGTAATCGGATTGTATTCAATCGGATTGGCAAAAATCTTTGCATGTAAACACAGCCAGTGTTTTACCATTTGGAGTTTCTAGGGGGCAGCCTACAATTCAGTAATTGTTGAACTGATGCCATTCTTAACGCATTCTTCTTTGCACACATTTTTAGAGGTTTCCTGCTCTTGGTTTGTCTAATATATGTGTATTTATGCAAACGGTGCACACTACTACATTTTTCATTGCTCACTGTGAAGCTGAGAAACAAAGCTTACCCTGTTTGTTCTTTACAGCACAAATGAACCAGTCCAGTCCAGATCAAGCTGGAGGTCCGGCAAGTGTTTTGCATTTTCGTCCACCAGCATTAGCTAATGGAAGATGTGTGTAGAGCTAATCTCTGCTGAACACTTGGTGGGTAATTCTCAAAGGAGGATTTCTCAGTTTAGCCAGATAACTTAAGCCCAAAGTCAAGCCTGTCCAATAGGAAAATAGCTGAGGGACATTCTTATTGGACAATCCCCATCTTTGGGAGAAAATGATCTGCCTAACTCAGGCATCCTGCGTTGTGAAAGACTTCAGTGCTCATAAAGCAGATAAAGAAAGATCTGAGTGGACGCTGTAAAAGCAGCTGAATGACTCAGCAGTTTTGCACGGAGTTTTGGGCTGAGTTAAGAGGGAGGGGTAAGACTGAATTATTTACTGAGTTTACACTCTGAGAGGCCTTCCATGGATTAGAGGTCCGATCCTGCTGAAGATATAAAGCTCCATAACGCTGTTTCTGAGGTTCATGGGGTGCAGTGGTGGACGAGGCATTATTTACCATTCCTCCGGATTGATTTTCTCTTTTTCATCTAGAACAGACAGCAAAAAGAGAAAACACTGAAAGCTTAGGAAGATGAAAGCGCAGATGGAAAGTTGAGGAAATGTTAGCTGTATGTTGCTCTATGTTGCTCCTTGTAGGGACCAAATACTCTCCACAAAATACAGCTTTGAGACAAACTAAAGAGCATATTACTATTCTCAAAAACCTCCACTGGCTTCCTGTGAGGCATTGCATCGACTTTAATATCATTTATGCTCACCTGCACAGTCCTTAATAACATTAGGCCTCATTCTTCAATATCTTCCTAAGTTTTTTCTTAAATTTGTTCTTGAGAAAGGTCCTAAGAAAAAGTCTACATCACATTCATGACATGTTCTTAATCCGCAGAACTGTTCACACCTTTGTGCTCTTGACTGTGTGTAGATTCTGTTCCTACCTGAGAACAAATCCCAAATAAGAAAACATTGGTGAATGTCAGAATCTTTGTGAAAACTACATAAGTGAATTTTAAGAAGAAATTTCTTCTTAAGAACAGTTAGCGAATGAGGCTCATTGTCTCCTCTTATCTGTCTAACCTTCTACTTTCTTATAAATCCACTGAGATTAGCAATAATATCACTGTTTTTTTTATCCAATCCTGAGTAAAACCAAGGCTATTATCCCAATAACAATACAGCAGCTTTTAAAAGTCTTCTTGTGCATTTAGTTTTTTAAAGATATTTAGTTTTTTAAGACAGACAAGTTGGTACAGACAAAACAGCCCTATTAGTGCCACATTAATAAAACATTTATAAATATGTACATATACAGTGATTTTCATGTCCCGCACTGTCTAAATCCAATTGAACAATTTTCAAATTATGCAAAAAAATAAATAAATAAATACATTGGAGATACGTATGGCCCTGAGAGGCCCTGAGCTGTTGCTATAATTTTCTGGATTGTTAAGATAACAACTTTGTTATGTTAAGATCACAAGATAATTGACTCATTATTTCAAAATAACAACTTTTGTTATTTCGAGATAACAAGATAATTAACTCATTATTTCAAGATAACAACTTTTGTTATTTTGAGATAACAAGATAATTAACTCATTATTTCAAGATAACCACTTTTGTTTCAAGATAACAAGACAATTAACTCATTATTTCAAGATAATAACTTTGTTATCTTGGGATAACAAGATAATTAACTCGTTATCTCAAGATAACAATCCAGAAAATTACAACTACCTCTTGGCCTCTCTGGACTACCATAGATACAAGGTTTTGTCCCAACAATGACAATGTATCTGAAAGTCTTTGTATTCGTCCTAATCAAACTCCGGTCGAAGCCTGTATGTGTCT